AATTCTCAAAAGCTTCACACATTCTTGATCAAGACAGTGTGAAGTAAAACCAATTTATGGTGCCAACAAGAGCTTCATGAAAGGAGTTCAACCACAATTCTCAAAAGCTTCACTCTTAATCAAGACAGTGTAAAGCAAAACCAAAGAGTTCAACCAGAATTCTCAAAAGTTTCACTCTTGATCAAGACAGTGTGAAGCAAAACCAATTTATGATGCCAACAAAAACTTCATCAATAAAGAACAACCACAACTCGTAGAAAGCTTCACACACTCTTGATCAAGACTATTCGAAGCAAATTCAATTTATATGGTTCGTCTAAACCTTCGACTACTACAAGGTATGACTTGTATCACAATCTCTTGCTCAACAGTATGAAAGCAAAATTTGTATATGCTGTCTCTTCCACATTTTTAAAATTCTAATTTTTCCAAAAAAAAAAAAAAAATTCAACAAATTTCTAGTTTTTCCAAAAAAAAAAAAAATTAGGAAATTCAACAAAGTTTCATCAACGAAGAATAACTATAAATTTTCAAAAGCTTCACACTATCTTGATCAAGATAGTGTGAAGTAAAATCAATTCATGGTACCTAACAAAAGCTTCAACTCTAAAGCTTAACCAATAAAAGCTTCACAAACAAAAGGTTCACCCACAAAAGCTTCACTCACCACAAAAACTTCACCCACAAAAGTTTCACTCACCACAAAAGCTTCACCCACAAAAGCTTCACCCACCACAAAAGCTTCACACACCACAAAAGCTTCACCCATAAAAACTTCACTAACAAAAACTTCACCCACAAAAACTTCACCCATAAAAGCTTCACCCGCCACAAAAACTTCACCTACCACAAAAGCTTCATCCATAAAAACTTCACCAACAAAAGCTTGACCCACAAAAACTTCACCTACAAAGCTTCAACACAAAAGCTTCACACTACCTTGATCAAGATAGTGTGAAGAAAAATCAATTTATGTTACCCAACAAAGTTTCAACCTCAAAACTTCACATACAAAACTTCAACACCAAAATTTCACCTACAGAGTTTAAATATATATATATATTTTCGAAAATTCAAAAATTAAAAAAAAAAAATTGCCTAGACCTCTTATTCTTTGAACTTAACAACTTTCATAACAAATATATATAAAGGAGTTTTGGGCTACCACTTAGAAAGGAAATGTCTCATTCGTCAACTCCCTTGACCGTAGACTTGGGAGACTCCTACCATGTGCTACTGCACCTTGATACTCGGAAGTCTCACGACCACTTAGTGACTTGGATTTTTTCAAGTTTCCAACCGATAAGTTTTCCTCAATCGGGAAATTAAAGGAGCACTACCGCAACATACATGCTTTACTCACAAAGCTTCAACATACAAATTTCAACAAAAGAAAAATTCAAAGAACTTAGTGAAGAAGGCCTTTGGTGTATTTAACACAATACGTTGAAATGAAGCAAAGCTTGTTTATTGATATCTCCGATAAGTTACAAATATGTACATATACATGAATCAAAATAAACAAACAAGAGAGTCTTCAAAAAGGTTGCTCAGGAGAAGTCTCAGCAGTCGGTAGAGCCCCAAAAAGAGTAGGCACCGGAAGGTGATCATTCGGAGCATCAGTACTAGGGCAGAACCCCAGAAGGAGGAGGCACTGAAGGTTGATCATTTGGAGCTTCATTACGCGGTACAGCCCCAGAAGACGAAGGCAATAAATGCATTTGGAACAAACCCACAAACCTCTGATGATCAAGTAAAATCTGACCATCAGATTCCTGTAGTGGTCAAGCTTCCTCTTCATGTTTGTAGCATAGTCATGTGCGAGCTTGTGCAACTGTTTATTCTCATGCTTGAGCCCTCTGATCTCCTGTTTGAGACTTATCACTTCAGCCGCCAATGATTCAACTTGGCGGGTTCGAGCAAATAGGCGTTGGGCCATATTAGACACAGAACCTGCACACTGAACACTGAAGAGCCAGAGAATCCTTAACAGCCAACTCATCAGACCGTTTGGAAAGTAGTCTGTTATCTTTGGAAGTGAGAAGGTTCCTGGCCACCACTGCAGCGGTCATATCATTCTTCATCACAAAGTCCCCAACGGTAAGAGGACCAGTAGGGGATAAGAAGGATGGGCGCCATATGTTGTCTTGAGAAGGCATGGCTGCCTCTTCACCAAAGTTCAAGTCAAAACGACGGTCGGATGGGCCAGACATTCTCAGAAATGATGAACGAGAAATGAGGTGCAATAAATCTCTGAAATACAAAAAATAAGAGGAAAAATTCCTACAAACAATAACTCTCTGAATGTACTTCTTGCACACAATTGGTGCCCTTATAAAAGAAAGGGCAACATGGCCGTTGGTTCAAAAATCGAAGGCACCACTCTTCGGATCTCGAAGAGGTACCACCCTCGACACGCAATATCAACTCCTCGGGTACAACAGATAACTTTACCAAAGATCTCTAACAAAGTTTAGATACATAAATTTTGAAGGTCCAGCTACTCTACTATTACCCACAAGGGTAAAGGAACAGCACCACTGCTTGATAACTGGAAAGTCCTTATGTGTGTCAACCTCCGTGCTCTGTGGCAAGGCAGACTGGCAAAAATGTCCAACCTTTACTCACATTCGAGAAAACACTCACAACAAGATTGCTTACTCAAAAATCGAAGAGGCACCACTCTCCGAATCTCGAGAGCCAGACTCCCAACCAGATTACTTGCTCAAAAATCAAAGAGGCACCGCCCTCTGAATCTCGAGAGCCAGACTACCAACAAGATTACTTGCTCAAAAATTGAAGAGGCACAGCTCTCCGAATCTCAAGAGTCAGACTCCCAACAAGATTGTTATCTCAAAAATCGAAGAGGCACTGTTCTCTGAATCTCGAGAGCCAGATCCCCGACAGAATTGCTTGTTCGAAAACCGAAGAGGCACCGCTCTCCGAACTTCGAGAGCCAGATTTCCTTGGATAAAGCTTATCTACAATCTTCACACGCAACATCAGCTTTACCGATACCACAAACCACTTTTTCAAAGTGCTCTGACAAAGTCAAAACATGTGAATCTTGCAGCTCCTACTACACTGCTATGACCAAGAAGGGTAAAGGAATAACGTTACTACTTGTTGTTAGGGACAATTCCTATATATGTCGACCTTCATCCTCCACAGCCAGGCATACCTGCAAATAAAAAAAAAAATGCTCAATTTTTATTCACATCTGAGAGGGCACTCCTAGCAGAGTCTCTCGAGATACTCAGCTTCTTTCCCCCTCCCTCGATAATACTTATGCAAACAAGCCACATCAGAGCAAGAGTATTTCATATCATCAGGGTTAAAAACAAGAGTATCCCATATCATGCTTTTTCCCTGTCTTTTCCTTTGCCCTTGCTCTTACCTGTAGGACAAGGAGAAAAAACAGCAATCAGTCAGAATCTTGGAAATCAAACTTCCGATCAGGAACTGACTGCCGGAACCCTTTGCCTGATTACTTACCTGGCATTGCTCTCGAGTACTCATCTTCAACTGTTGTCAAGGTCACGAAGTCCTTTGGCAAATACCTCAGAACAGTTGATACAATATTGACGCTTTACACTGAAGCTGCAACGCATAGATGAGTCACTGAGAAGTAGTGCTCTGAAGGACCATTTAAATGCAAAGATTGCATTCCACTCCTGCATCGGGGACAAATGTTGTAAGAGATTGAAGCAGAATGATTAATCATGAGTTACAACAGATCACTACAGCACGATGCCCTTCCTATAGAACCACACAACCCAGATAGAGAAGTCTAAATCAATTCCAAACCCAGCATCGCTGCCCTATCCAAAGAACTCGAGAAGTTTCAACAACCTTTCGCTAACACCGTCGCCAAAAAGTAAAACTTCGTCATACCACACCCACTACTTTGTCGACAGCAAAAGTATCCCATATCATTAGGGTCGAACGTACTATAGATTTGATGGACTTGTTTTGACCCTCAAATTCTTAAGTTGGCCTTATACTTTAGAGGAAACCAAAAAACCCACCAGCTCAGTTCAAGAATAAGCCTGTGGAAAGTTACTTCTTCAAAAACAAAAATATCTCATATCATCTCTTCTCCATTTGCTTCTCTTTATACTTGTTGTTTACGACACAAGGAGAAAGAGAACAATCAATCGGAAGACGAAGTCGAACCTCCGATCCGGATTGCTTACTTGGAAGTTTGATTGCTTACCTTGTCTGTTACCTCATTCGGCAAATCTCCTAGCTCGACGACTTGAAAGACTCGTACTATAAGGTTTGTACCATATTTGACCAAGCCCGAAACTACAAGTAAACTTCAAGTGAAATTGATATATTACCTTGTGCATCTTCATTGGTTAAAGATACCACCCCTGGATGGAGGAAAAGTACTTACAGAAAAGATGCCACATTTACATATGAGACATATAAGATAAGTGAAAATGATACCACACTTCGATATTGAGAAGTTTCGTGATTACTCAATGTCTTTGATCTTACAAGTCCCCAACCGAGGAGCTTCCCTCACTCGGGAACTTATGAGAGCACTGTTTGTACCATACTTGACCAATCCCGAAACTACTGAGTACCGGTCAACGTTATACCGTCAAAGACCCAGAAAAGTTTCCCTCCAACCAGGAGGCCAATCACAGCGCGACACGTGTCGACATCAGAAACCAATCATAGCGCAACATGTGTCAATATCAGAAGCCAATCACAACACGACAAGTATCAATGTCAGAATGAAACTAGAAACTCTCTTTTATAAATAGAGATCATTCTCTCACAATATTTCCTAATATCATTTGTACTAAATCATTCACTAGTACTCACTAAAGGAGAGCTTGAACCTATGTACTTGTGTAAACCCTTAACAATTAATGAGAACTCCTCTACTCCGTAGACGTAGCCAATCTGAGTGAACTACGTACATCTTGTGTTTGCTTCCCTGTCCCTATCCATTTACATACTTATTCACACTAGTGACCGGAGCAATCTAGCGAAGGTCACAAACTTAACATTTTCTATTGTACCAAAATCCTCACTGATTTTGTGCATCAACAAGTTTCATGAAAACAAAGCACACTGAATTGAATTACACAAAGAAATTGACAAATTGAAGCAGAGTACACCATCTGAATCTTCGTCGTTGGAAATCGAGCTATGTCTCCGGATGCACAGAGATATTCCCAATGAACGCAAGAACTTCCTTGGTCACACCAAGAGTAGCACCAACTGCCTCCGCCTCATCTTCTCATAAAAACTGAAGCAAATTCGAAGGGATTTTAGTGAACTCCGAAACCATATTAACAGATGGGAAAAATATAATATTATACCGAACACATTTATCAAGTAAAAGGACGACTATTATACTGCACTAACACAGTCAAGAGCTAAGGTTGCGGTGGAGATGGAGATGGACCTCAAATAGGGCTTCTTGGTCGAGCGACACTTATTCATAGATTCAGTAGCAATGTCCTAAACAGAAAATCATATAATGACTCATGTTTTTGGTCTACTCAAGCTGTATAGTGTACTAATGCAACTGCAAAATGACCAACAGAATGAAACTTCTGCTACTAAAAAGCTTTTACAAAATCATAAAACTAAGAGTTTGAACCCTACTGGAAAGTTATATGAGTAGACGAAGTTCTTGAAGCAAGATCATAAGCTCTTGCAGCTTCTTTTCCATATCATAGCCACTTCCAGGTCAAATTAACAGAAAATCAATGCTAAATCACAAACAAGTCAGTGATAATTTAAACTACAATCCTTTACTATTGTTGTAGAGAAAATTCATATCAATATAAACTACATTATTTGATTTGAATGGAATCAAACATAAACTTGGAATGTAAAAAATTAATAGCTAAGTCAGATCTCAGCAGCAATTAATAGCATAACTCAGATTTCAGTGGTAGGGACCAAAAAAAAAAAAAATTTTAGTTCAAAAGAAACAATTCCAAACAAATAGTAAGAATGATGTTTCGTTTTTATTGACCAATCTTGCCTTCCTTTTTCTGATTGTCCCTTCTTGCAGTTGTTGTCCCACAGATTTGCCTCATATCTTTCAGTTCATCTATGCCTAATGGAGACAAAATTTAACAAACTCACTTGTAGTTTTAGCTAACTAACTCATGGAATCCAAAAAAATTCAATCAGAAAACATAAAATAATAAAAAATGGGGAAAAATGAAGAACTTTAAAAGATGGAGAAAACTTTTGAGCCTACTTGAAACTTTCGAGCACTTAGTGCTTCTTGACAACCCAATCCCCTACTTCGTAAATCTGAAAGGCCTAATGAGTACGAGTCAATCTAGATATTTTGATATAACATCTCAAAAACTAAATGAATAATTTAGATAAAATGAAATCATATCAAAAGGTTCCATAACTTTAAAAGAAAATTTGTCCTAGACCCTGGAAATTTAAACGAAGAATCCTACAAAAAGTAAATCAAGATTATGGGGGCTTCATAGAAGAAAAAAGATTGAAACGTTGTTCCACTGATAAGTGTTTTTTTGGTCCCTTGAAGAGTATTTGTCCAGGACAAGCTATATTCAGGCTTCTAATTACAATTTGCTTTCTTTATGAATTTTTAAATGTAAGTTTACCTTGTGGTTTTTGAAATTTTGGTTGAAATTGTGAATGTTGTTCTGTTAATTAAATGCTGAAGGGATTTTGTAAAAACTATATTGGATTTTACAAATGCAGTTACAAAACTTAGACTGTACAATTAAACTTTTAATAAATAAATGCAGAAGTTTAAGTCAGTTACCTTGAGGACAAAGCGCGTCCAAAGGTAGGAAGAAATAGCCTGAAACCACAATTACTGAGATTTTCAGAAACCTATAAAAAAAATAACATCAACTCTTAACGAACTTTAGAAAACTATACTGGATTTTACAAATGCAGTTACAAAACTCAGAAAAGTCAAAAAAATTAATAAAACCTCATTTCTACATCTAAGTCAAACACAATATTTAAGAGGAACGAAGGATTTGTGATAAACAAAGGGTGAGACAAGGACAGCAAAAGCACATATTAGCAAAGCATTAGAACAAAAACCAAAGGTAAAGTGAAGAAGAAGACAGCCGAGGTAGATAGATTAAGGATGAAAGACGAGCGGCCAACATGGGCAACCACAACTATATATAAAACATACTTGATAGAGCATATAATCGCTTTAACAACATCATTATTAAAAAAATCCTTAGGCGGCAGCTAAAAGGCTGCCATGTTTCATTAGTGCGTATAAGCCAATAATTTTATCCAGCATTTATTTAGAATTCACAAACGCATGAAAAAATTTATGGGAACATAAAAATTCCATAACAACGAAAAACTATACATGAATTGCAAAATCTATGTACATAGCTCTTACATGCACAAAAGAAGACAAGAAAATCAATAAGAGCTCTTAGATGCACAGACCAACAAAGAATCAATCAGATATAAGATGATGTTAAGGATTGAGACAAAACTTACTACAAACAGTTGTCATCTATTCACTTCTTACAATACATTCACAGTTAGATTCACCAAAACGCATTATAAAATTAATTCTTAACGGTTATCAATGTTTAAATACTAACCTAATTGTAGCTATTACCTTTTGTGTCAAGTATCTGTATAAGCATTTTAACCATAGCTCCAAACAACAAACAAAGCAACTGAAAGAAATCAAAGAAACCAAAAACCACACGATGACCTCAAACGAAACAGAGTTTGATGTATAATTTAAACAGTCCATAAGAGCCTTTAACAATTTTATGTTTTACCAATACTTTTTCAATCAAATTTATTTTTTGTTTAAGCTTAGCTTTGTCATTTATCCATCTTTTGGAATGCATTTACAGTCAGATTCACCAAAGGACACTACAAAATTAATTCTCAATGCTCACCAGACTGAATTATGATTTATGATTGGACAAAAATTCGATTGAACTACATTACTAAAATATCAGTCCCTATAATTTGGATTGAAATCCTAAATTAGCATCATTGAGATAAGTTGACCAACATCCATATAGGATAACAATCCATTCATTTTTAAGACCCGGGTCTGATTCAATTATAATAGCCCTGCATCTCAAACGATTCGTGCATGGCTCACCACATCTACCCAAAGTGTTGATACATTTATATAGTTGTAATGTAATTCCAAGCATAAAACAAAAGTAATAAAATAACAGTGGACAGAGAATATAATGTCCAAATCTGTCAACAGTCTGCATACCTGGCAGAGCCTCCAGCAACAACGGATACCACAAACGGAGTGCCGCCAATTTGCTTCTTTTCTTATCTCCCGAGTCACTGCTATCACCAAATTTTTTTATTAGCCAATTCTTCGAATTGATGTAGCAGGAAAGATTAAACACCAGCTGAAAAAATAATAATAAAACAAAGATCAATCTCGTGCACTAAAAAAAACAACAAACAAATATCAGAGCAGCATTAAGATAATAATAAGAAAATACCAGGGGCACCAGCGGGAGTGGTAGATACTGAAAAAATAACAAACAAATGGGGAAAAAAGAAGAAGTAAGCAGCAAATCTTAATTTCCAAGAAATCTATAAAATAAATAAATAAAAAGGGAGGAGAGAAGAAAGACAAACATCCACAGTCGGCCACGAAAGGAGAGGAGACGTTGCAAGCGGCGGGGAGGGAGGCGGCCCTTGTGATGTTCAAAACGACGCCAAACGGAGCACTGCTCTTGAAGACCACAACTAACCCAAAACAAAATTATTACATTTTCATCCAAACTAACAAAAATACAAAATAAAAAACTGAAAGACAGCAGTTATAAAACATACCTCAGTTGTATAAAATTTATTTCCCAACGATCAACAGACAGCCGGCGCTCAACGATCTAAGGACAGCGCTCAAACGGAGAAGAAGACAGGAAACATATCCGGCCAAAATTCGTGAATCCCAGATGAAAACGAACGCAAAAACTGCGAAATCCCGCACTCCGATCGCAACTCTAGAAATAGAGACCAATTTTATGAGGCTGGGCAAAACACCCACAACCCCAGGTTTAAAAGGACAAAAAGCAGGAACTTTCCTCCAATATTTTCCGATGCAGAGACCACAATATTTAAGAGGAACAAACAATTAGAGAAGAACAGCGAGAATAAGGTAGGAATCAGAGGAGGACCAGAAGCAACAAAGGGTTAAACGTAAAAGAAGACTCGAGAATTCGAAGTGGATATATCAACGATGACGGACGCGTGGAAAGAATGGGCAAAAGCGTCTTTCCATTGTACGAAGCAGGCGACAAAGCGGGAGAGCAAGGAGAAACCGAGGGGCAAAAGAGTCCGCCCACTGGTCATAAACAGTACCCCGTAACCGAGTTGGAGAAAAAGTGTCTGTACGTTGCCTTCGGTGTTTAAAATATTTTGGAAATATATCCATAAAGATAATGGAGGTTGAAGAGTTTCAAAACTGTTTAGAACATGTAAAATTTGTAAATGTACATATACGATAGGTGATACTATTCATATACATGTGGAATCCAGAAAGGGAATTATAGTTCCTTTGTTCAGAATCAAAATCACAAATCTAAAATACAATTTCAAAAATCATTTCTAGACAGTTGAACATTAAGAAGAGCACTAATTCTAAAATACAAATTCAAATTTTCTCCATGTTAAAAAGTATGCAATTACACTTATATATTTCCCATAAGATCATAATTCTGTTACCACAATATATTTCTATTTTGATAGGATATATATTTTGATCTGAATCCTATTTTGTATTAATAACAAAATTGAGGGAAAGAGGCAAGTGTAATTCATTTGATCTCACAAAGACTGATATTATTGCAACACATTCCAATTGGATTAAAAGAATAAATAAACCTTCACTTCCTCTGAACTATCACCAGAATTCTCCTCTGAACAATCATCAAATGAGCTTAAAACATCCTTTCTACTTTTTTCACAACTTCCTAAACATGCCCAGAAAGATTAGGATTCAAACTAATTACTAAAATCCCATTATGTGACAATTGATGTGTCACTTGTATATATAATAGCATTGAAAAAATTCAACCCCCACCTAATTTAACTATTATAATATTTCCTAAAACATGAATCTGACAACGGCGTCCGAATCAAGACACGGCAAGGCGGGATGGGCAGCGTCTCCGGCATCCTCTTCAAGAACATCCAGATGGAGAGTGTGCTCAACTGCGTGCTAGTAGACCAGTACTACTACATGTCAAAAGCATGCCGAAACCAAAAAAACTTGAAATTGGAACATGGGTGACCAAGAAAATTTGGTGTCTAGAGATTTTGTATTGGGTGTACTTTTGTCGGGCAATTTGGCATTGGGGCGGCAGCTTTTGAGTTTTAGCCCATTTTGGCAAGGCAAAAGAGCATTTGGGCTCAAATCCTTGCCAATAATTTGCTTTTATACAACACTAGGTGTGGGAATTTAGACTAAATCACATCGATAACAGGAATTCGTTTAAACGTTTCTTTGTTTTTGGATCAAAGTGACAACTATTCCAAAGATAGTTTGATTCCCCAGCGTAATCGAATGAGCATGAAACAAATATATGACAGCTCTTACAGTTGAATAGGTGATGTTCTTTTACTTGTCCGAAGGCGCTTCACCATACGTTAAGCACTAAGCACTCACTAGGATTTTACTTCCTGAGCCTAATTATACAGCATCATGTTCATATGGAACCGGACCTACAATCAGCTTTCAAACTCATCGGCGTGGTCACCTTCAGTAGTCCAGTGCGTATACAGACTATTCTAAGACATATACAAGGAATGTTTGAAACCTGTACATAATTATAGGGAGCTCTGGTAACGCTAGTCCTTTACATGGCTTACAAAACACCTGCTTGAAACCACCTCATCATTTTTGTAAACCTAAGAAATTAATGTATACTGGACTTATCACAAACCTTTTGTTTTGCCAATATGATAACTGCAATAATTCTTCATGCAATGATCACAATTTGAATACCTGGGAACGGTACAAAAATCTGAGCATGCAGGATTGTGACTGAACCACAGCAGAAATTCCAAACACCATAGTTCCTCACCAGTTGGAGCGGCTACCAAAATTTGAACGAGGAATTGATGCAGGCACCAGTCGGGGCGACCCTGGATCTTTTGGTGTAGCTTCAGCACTGGCGCTATCAATAATTGGCGCATATGGCATTGTCACATTCTTTTTCAGCATTTTCTGATAGCATTGCAAAGCAAGAAAATTCATTACAAAGCAAAACGTCAACTATCCAGAAAAAGATGAATATCACGAACTTTTGCAATGTGTTAAAGATCCGTATCTATCAGCAACAGCAATGCAAGGGTGTACAATATTCTCAATTATTCTTTAGTTTGCATGTACAATTTTAGCATTCCATGGTCAGCCAAGCTTGACAAAGTTAAAAGTCAATGCAATAACATGAAGCTGCAGAGCTCAGAGGTATGGCGTTACAATCTAACCTTTTGTTTGTTTGGTCTGTAAGTGTTCATTGCTCGTTCAATTGAAGAGTACACGTCCAGTGCTTGGGGGGTATCAGGGAAGCACTTTATGACATGAACTTGTTCCCTCATCTCTGATTTATCTTGTAAATAAAGAATGACCCGTGAAGGTGGAGCTTTTGGGTGGTCCTTTTTCCCATGTGCCATCTCCATTATCACCAGGTCATCCCACAGTACATCCCACAATACAGAACACGGATCCCTAGCCGGGTTGAACTTCTGAGCTAAGGGTTGCTGATGACAAAAGTTACAATGTCATTGTTTGCTGACTTTTGAGGATGGCTTATAGAAGATAGGAAAGGACTGATAGCACTACGAATGATTCTAATCCTGCTAACTTACATGCAACAGTATCACTCTTCGATGAGTGACTAGAAGAATTCTTCCTTTGCGGAGTAAAAAGTGATCCTCATAAGCATCTGATAGAGCAAACTTCCCACGCACTTTAAACAGATCAACCTGGAGGAAAAATGAACCTGATTCTGCCAGCTGCAATATAGCCTTCATGGCCAAGAAAGTTGGAGTAAGAACAAGCAATGAAGGCAGTATCAATAAAAACCAAACCAAGTTACATGGAAAGAATTTTTTTTACTGAGGATTGAAAGCAGTCGAACAACTAGTACCTGTCCCTGTGCTTTGTAGTCGTCATAAGGTCGAATCAAATTATCACCACCAATAACACGAGGCAGCCTTTTGCGGAGGAGATGCTCATCGGAAGTTATTGCTGATGCTATCATCATTCTCATTGCCTTTTGAACTTTTGAAATAACAATGCTAATCACTGTACTCTGCCTCATGCACACGTTCTCATTAAAATTTTGTTTTATCCTCACCTAAAATAACAAATGTAAGTACTTAGGCCAGATGAAATTCTAGGATGAATTCCAGAAAAAAAAAAAATAAAAACCATGAAATCACAAAACAGCGGGAGGAAGAATCCCAACACTTACTTGCATATTCGGAGTGTTCCCCAATGCAATCATCAAAGATGCCCAAAATCCAAGGACACCTCTCAGCCGCCGACTAGGTGACATAGCCATTGACACTTTGAATTGAACCTCTGAAATGCTAAGAACTCTGCAAGTACAAGTAACATTATTTAAGGGAATTATGACTAAATGTAGTGAAAAGCTATGAAAAGACAATTTTAGAAGTCCTGGCATACCCAATTTCAATAATTGGATCAACAGAAACAGCAGTTGTTTGAGTATCAGACAACCGACTGAGGTTGACCTGCTGAACCATCTCATGAAGGCGCCAAATGATTGGCTCATGAATGTTTATCAAAAAGGCAGAGTTTTCAGGTCCCTGAATAATCAGTTGCATATAATTAAATATAAATTGGAGAAAAAATATCAGAAAACCTTCTATTGGAAAATGATAACTCTCTTATACTTACCTGGAGACCGATATATGGATAGACACATAGATCTAGTGACCCATTTGATTGCATTGTGATTGAAAGTTTCAAGATATAGTCAGTATCTTCTCCAACTTTCTGTGGTCTAAAAAGAATAGGTGTTGGAGTAAGGGGCAACTGGTTATCCAATTGTATCCCTCGCATTCTAAGTTTGAACCTGAAAACAGGAAACAGAAGACTCCAGATTTAATAACCTGCTGTTGAAAGAGAAACATAAACAGTCCAAGATTCAACAAAAGCATCCTAAAGGTCTTTTTGCTAATTAAGCCAAATTTACGCTTCTGAATAGAGATTCTCATATAGATCTGCTAACAGGAATTAACAACAAATCATCTGCTGAGGCTTGAACCATGGACCTCATAACATGAAAGCCTATCACACCAACTGTTGACTGCTAGTATATTATATATCTTATTTTACCAATTAAGCCTAAATGCTAAGCGATAATATTTTCTTTTGAATAGCAATATATTCAAATAGTCTGCAACACACATAAGTATTTCATAACATATTAATATTTAAAAAATATATATATGCACAATAACAATTGTTCTTTTCCTATTTTTCCCGATAGGAAATAAACTATCAATAATAAAATGAAACTGTACAAAACAGAGGACAAGATGTCAATATACCTAATTCTACTAACAGCATCTAATAATCACACCAGAAACAAACAAAAAACAAAAAAAATATCATTACAACAACACTCAAGGTCACAGCAGCTTTTCAACAGTTAAGAAGACTGCACCCGCACTGACTAATAAATTAAGCAAATTGTTCTCCAAGCCACAAAATTGATAGCAAACTTACCTACTGATTCCAGAACCTAAGCCAGTTGAATATGCACAATGAAGATTCTGAACCGAAAGGTACAGGATTTCTTCGGGTGTATGGTCAATAATGGATATTCCAAGCTCAGGAAGCTCAATGATAACATGAAACTCACAATCAGTGATTATTGGTGATTGTTTCTGTATAGAAAGCTGAGACATAGGTGATGAGTGGCTTGTACTCAAGATTCCAGACGGATCACTTTCTCGCATCCAGTCACTGATCTTGATGACATTCACTTTGTCTTCTTTTATTACAGTAACACGTGAAGCTTTAGAAGGCCCATTTCCCACATGAATGGGTTGGTGATCAGAAATCTCATCAATATCATTCTTCTCTGATTTTAATGGGTCTTCCCCCTCTACCAGGATCTCTAATAAACGTCTTCTGCCAAGATCTTCCCATAAAAAAGAAGCTGCTGTATTGGGAAGAAGAAATTTCCATGAATCGTTGGTATCATCCACTTGCCGAATTTGGATGGGTAGAAACATGGAACGATTTTCAATCCTGTTGATAGAAAACTATCAGCAGTGGACCAAAAACAAAAGAACACATGCATACAAGTAAAGGAGATTAAACCATGTTTATGTATTTATTTTACTGTACTAAGACAACTTCCACATGAACAGACATTACAAGTTCAACAAAATTTCACTCTAGTAAAACAGAATTATTTTTCTTATCTTATGATACCTTATGAGTTATGATAACTACATTATCTCTTTCCATTTCACAAGATTTCATAAGACATAGTGAACTGTTACCTGTAAGGACTCATGGAAGAGTTTGGACGGAAAACAACTTCATAGCTTGAGTTCTTTGCTCCACTTCTTACAGCTATTCGAAATTGAAGTAGATCATTTCCGGCATCCTTCTTCAAGCAAACACGCATGATACCTTCATAACAAACACTAAATGGTGCACTCCAATTGTAACCATCCACCCGCACCTGATAAGAAGAATAAATCCCATATGGGATTCAGACAATGTATGCTATTCATGCATAATTAGCGAACATGAGAGATTTTAAAACTTCACGGACCTTCAACAGTTCAACTTTGGCACTAGACTGCCAACAAAAAGGCTTTGGAGAATCCGTGGGATGAATCCACGCCACGGACCGAGAATCACACTGTTGCAGGCAGAGACTGTAACCAACTCTATTAATAAACAAGGTGTGGGGCTGGAAGTGCACAACCTGAATATTAACCATTGAGCAGTTGTTTATTATTATTACCATATACCAAAGAAACTTGACAAATGCATAGCTTATCAGTACCAAAGAGCACAAAAAATAGGGACTAACAACAACTTCTTTTACTAAGGACTAAGAAGTAAGGAACCTTCTGTCCATTCTAAACATGCAGATGGCCTGGTGAAGAGAATCTTTCAT